AAAAAATAGTGGGTACAAGCACAAAATTTATGAGAAATTCACTAGAATAAGCAATCCATTGTTGCACATTAATATAAAACATCTATCAGATGCATTCCCAAAGTTTAAAATAGTAAGTAAAAAACACCATATTCAAGCAGCATTTAATTTTTTTTCAATTCTTTCATTTGTTATTAATTATCACCAAAAAGATAAAAATTTGATAACATATTATAAGTATGAACTTAAAAATCCAATGCTTCTGGGAAATTCATGTCAGCTAACAATTTATATCTGCTTAAGGTACAAACTTGTAAACCTGTTATTTTCTTATCCTCACCTGCAGGTAACTTTTAGAAAAGCAGTGAATAAACTTCTTTAATCGACATGTCTATCGTTAGATAAGTCACATCTTTAAAACTATTATTAATGTTTTAAATCTTTTGTCAATATCTTTATTCAAGCTATACTGTCAATCTGTTTACTCCCAATTTTTGAAACATTTATCCTCATGCAAATGCAGTTTAAGCTACCTTTAATTATTTGTGATTCAATGAAGAGGAAGTTTCCCTTACTAATTTTTAATGTGTCTTATTTGTTCTGTACTCAAAAGGTAAGAAGATGAGAAGACACAAGCTTAATATTTGTGAAGAAACTAATTAGGCATCTATTATTATCAAGACATTTAAACTTTCTAACACAGTTATTGGCTTATAGAATAAATTTCTGCTAACAGTAGTACAGACCAGTGCTTTGCAGGAGATGAAAGGGGAAATCAATGATTTGTTGAAAATTAAAGGGTGTGATTAAATTTTGTTTTATCTTCTCTCAAGTTAACATTTAGGACGGCTGGATGTAGGAAAAGCAACAAGTTATTCATGAGAACTGGACACTTTTGTTACTAGTGGAGAAATTTAGGGGTTATTTCTTGTGCCTTTGATTTTTCTTTTTTTAATTAATAATATGTTATAGTTATATAGTTAGTAATTAGTAAAGTTCACAGATTACATTAATCTCTTATGTATTTCTAAGTGTATTGAAGATGTTGAGATACTACAAATAACTAGTAGCAAGTTTAACTTTACAATAACAGAATTTTAGTTATAAACATACTGCATGATTACATTTTACAAGTAAAAGGAAATATCTTCATATAACTACTTAGACCTTACTTGGAATACAGTGTAGAGTTTGGGTCTCCAAAAAAGATTTGACTTTTTCTTTGGAAGAAGTTCAGACAAGAGCTAATGCATGCTTCCCGAGATTGAAAGGTTAATTTATGGGTGATAGGTTAAGATATCTTTTAACTTAAGTAATTTTCTCTTAAGAAAACAGGGTAAGATGAAGAGATGCTATTGTTATCTCTGTATCTGCAAATTGCAATACTGGAGAGTGACACAATACAATTTATAAATGTAATCGGTAATTTCCTTAAAAGAGAAGAGTGAGTTTAAGTTTTCACTTTGTTTCTCAATACAGACTAATACTAGTAGTAATAGAGTGTGATATTTTTCTACATTCCCCTTCGTAGTTTGGCCTTCAACTTCAAATATCAATCCCAATAACTGGAGATGAGACAGTGAAAATGGATGCTCTCATTAAATACATCTTCGAGTCCGAGCGTAACTTATCTCTTCCACGTTAAACAAATACCTAAATTTATAAATTTTCAATAAAATATGTCTATGCTACATCTTTAAACTTACATGACTGGCACCGATGTTTTTCAAATTTCAACCAACTACTTGAACTAGTATTATATAGGACACAACAATTACAGTTTTAAATTGTAATTTGCATACCCAAACTAGCTGAAAAAGCTCAACTGGTTTGCAAGCATATTTACATATTCGAAAAAGTTGCTGTTATGGAAAGAAAAATGGTGAAGGATAACATATATTTAAGGAATGTTGTATTCGTAAGTTCAAAAGAAAACATGTATGTATTGTTGTTTTTTCTTTTATACTTCTCTCTCTCTCTCGTCAATTCATGACTAGAATATCCTTCAAGAAATATTTTATCATGATCATAATGCAAAAATAGATATACTTCTCAAACCACCCTCAGAGTCACATATGTAAAATTCATCCAATAACGCTTTATTATATGAAAATATTTGGCGTCTCTAGGATTGTTTATATATATATATTGTTACGTCTCCGTTTGTTAATTAATTTTTCCGTAAATTCTTTCCAACTAAACTTTAGCGACACAAGTCCTTTCTTAAATAAAACTGGTTTATTCTTTCTGAATATAACTTTACGATACACTTAATTTCAACATTCGCGCTAAAACAAACGCTATAACGAACGTTAGCCTCAACAATACTTTCTGACAATTACTCACTACCTACACATTGTCCCGTCACGTTGTCACCATCTTATATGTACCAGACTACCCCCAATCTAGTAATCTCAGGAAGGTTCGAGAAAGAAGTGGCGTGATACT